CATTCTTAATACATTTTAACCATGGGGCATTTTCAACTTCTGTATAGATAGCATACATGTATTTGTAAAGTATCTGGGACGGTTTATGATGCACTTCTGAGGTAGCAAGCTTATGCCAACACGTATATAAACTTTAATACTTAATGGTTCCCTACCCAGTTCGCCGTATAGCATAAAGTTTGGGGTTGTGTTTTTCAGTCCTGTTGCTAATTTAAGAAATTTAGATGGACTCTTTCTATAATAGTTAGATTCTCGTACCCCCAGATCTCGACTCCATATAATAGTACAGGGACGACGATTGCATCAAATGCAGATAAGAGGCAATCTAATGGCAAAGTAACATTTGGGGACTTCATGAGTAAGCTGAACATGGCTTTAGTGACGTTTTCTGACAGCGATTTGACTGCTTGTATACATAGCTGATAGTGAAACATAATTTCGATTTGTTTGCAGGTCCGGCACCAAAGATCACCACTTTTGTTTTGTTAGCTTAACATTTAACTTCCATAGAGCACAGTTGTCGGAAAACTGATTTAACGGTCTTTGTAGGTCTTTAGGGTTATCACTTGTTATAACTGTGTCATCTGCATAGAGCAGTATTAGGAGCTGGAAAAATACTGTTAGGTTAGTATCGATCAGATTTTCAAGATCAACACCTTTACATTCATTTTCAACAGATATTGTTCGAGATCATTTAGGAATAATGAAAACAGGAGAGGGGGAAGGTTTTCACCCTGTCGTATACCATCATGACAAATGAAATCGTCAGAGAACTGGTTATTAATACTAATTTTTGATTTGATGTTGTGGTACATATTCCTGACCAGGGTGAAAAAACCTTCCTTCAAATCCAAGTTTTTGAAGTTTATGCCATAGACTCCATACTTTATCGAATGCTTTAGTGAAATCTATAAAAACCAAATATAATTTCATTTTTGATATTTTCATTATTTGCATCAACATTTGCATTGCAAAAATGTTATCACAAGTAGAAAACCCTTTTCTAAAACCTGCTTGTGCAGGATTTAAAATGTTATAATCGTAAACAAATTTAGTTAATCTGTTATTTAATATTTGGGTAAAAAGTTTGCCGCAGCAACTCAATATAGTTATGGGTCTGTATGAATTAGCATCTGGGCGATTGCCCTTCCCTTTATAGATTGGTTTCACAATCCCCGTAAGCCATGTATCTGGCAACAGTGCAGATGATAATATAATATTAAGGAAATTTGTAAGAAATGGGACTAGAGTGTCAATAGCATCTCTACAATAATCCTTCTTTATAAAATCCTGTCCTAAAGCTTTATTCCTCTTCAGGCCTTTAATTGCAAATGTTATTTCTTCGGCCTAGCCAGTTGTCATCGATGGTTGTATCATATGTTGAACGTTCATTAATTTCAGTGAAGTAGGCATAAAAACTATCTATATCTGGTGTAATTTCTGTTTTATTACTATCATTTCTATTTAACATTTTCCAAAATTCTCTCGGCGAACGTTTATTGTTTTCCCGGAAGGCGATATGTATAGTATTTTTATAACTTTTAATCCGTTTATCAATAAACGTTTTAAAATTCTTAGACATTTGGCGGTAATGAGCTCTATTTAAAGGTGAATTTGATTTTCTAATTTTATTTTTAGCTTTTTTAAACTTTTTACGTTGGATTCTACATTCTTTGTCAAACCAAGGCTTGTCCACCATGTTTTCCTTTCATGGTCAGTATACGGTTTAACATTCTTCCTGACACCAAATGTTGTGCATGCAGCATCAACAAGAGCGTGTCCAAGATCGCGGGCCATGCCGTTAATCGCTCCCGCGTCAACCTGAGTTTCACGTGCTGCACGTGCTCGCTCCGTCAGTTCACTCATGATACCCCTGTTGATATTTTGTCAAAACATGGTGGATAAATTTGCATCATACCGCTTGGGTTTCTTACTCTCACAATTACAAGAGGATGCAGTACTAGGAGGCTTAGTTTGGACATCTAGTTTCTGATGAGGTATTTTGACAGAGAAGTATACTGGGCAGTGAACACCAGAGTAAAGAGGTGAGTAATGCATAATTTCAAAATCTGTGAAGAGTTGCAGGGACAGAGGTGATCTTAAAACATAGTCAACTACTGGTTTATCTTTACAAGTTGCTTTACCAATATGTCTGTCTTTTCCCAGACGACCATTACAGATAAATAGGTTTAAGCTCTTGCATGTTTCAATGAGTTTAACACAAAAGTTATTCATTCTACCCATGTCTTGTGTACTTCTGTCATGTGGTAAGCCTTGTTCATCATATACTAATTCAGGTTTAAATTCACTTATAAGTTCACTCAAATCCATATCTAGTTCATCAATAATATATTGATCAAAAGTACAAAAATCACACATGTTCCTTGTTCGTGCTTTAAAATCACCAAACACAGTAACATAATCACTAACTGAGAGGTAAATCAACATAGAATTTTCTAATTCATTAAATACATCACCATGCACATGTTTAGAACCTTCAGGTGGTATGTACACACACAAAGTACATGTCTTGATCAATATTTAGAAATGACCTGCAAATTTTAATCCATACAATGTACTCGTTATTATCTTCAATAATGGAAATGAAATCTCTATATTTATTTCTTACAGCAATACCAATGCCACCTGAAACATTTTGGGGAACATTGTCATCATTTAGAACATTCTCTGAGTTATCACCATCATCATCATCATCATCATCATCATCATGTCTATTATTATTGTGATATGATACAATATCGTCAGAAACATTTTGGGGAACATTGTCATCATTTAGAACATTCTCTGAGTTATCACCAAACACCATCCTCTTTGTATTAACAGTTACATCACTAATAGTTTTATCACGAACATTTATGTTGTTTGTATTATCAGCTACAGTTTCAACAATATTGTCAGAATCAACATGATCATTACAAGCATCGCTGTCTAAATTTGTAACTACTTTATCATCATGAAATACATGTTCATTGTCAATATTGATAACATCAGTACCAATTGTTTTAACACAGTTGTTATGAATATCTTCATTGTTCATATGAACCTCTACATTACAATCAATTTCAGCTTTGTCATTATTTATAACTATGTCAACAGCACCATAATTCCAAACATTTTCAGATTCATGCAAACGAACAATTGAGCTTATCGAGTTTAGGCCAAGCGACGAAGCAAGACCGTTCTGGGAAATCACTGCAAAGATGTCCTGTAAAAGTTAATATTTAATTTGTATCCCGTTAGTGAGTGAGTTAATATTTAACGTCACATTAATCATACATATATTTAGACTAAAAATGGACAGAAAAATAACTACAATATCACAGATTAATATTTAAAGCCAAAAGTACAACCATAAAAAGATATCACTATATCTAACAATACAAAATATAAAAGGGCTATAGATCGCCAGCAACTGAAGGTATATCACCATACTAGGGACCATGGGGAATTACAGTACCTTTGCTACCTGCATGGACCCCTGCGAGATTTTTACCATCCCTTTAGTAGCTGGCGATTGTACGCGGCCACAATTTAAATTACGCATATTCTACGTTAAAAATAGTAGTAGGCAGAAATATTCTTCGAATGACATGGCCTTACGATCTCGCAGGGTGACAATAATTTTACAAAACTTCATCCCCCTTCGAATATAGAACGTTATTCGACCTTAGCAAGATGTAGGCACACACGCGCGGAATGTATGCCAACATTTTAATGTTATCCAGCATATGCGTGAACAAGTTATGTTTTTTTCTATATTTTATTGAGTGAGTGAGTTTGATTTTACGCCGCTTTTAGCAATATTCCAGCAATATCACGGCGGGGGACACCAGAAATAGACTTCACACATTGTACCCATGTCGGGAATGGAACCCGGGTCTTCGGCGTGACGAGCGAACGCTTTAACCGCTGGGCTACCCGACCGCCCTTATTGAGTCTAATTATTTAAAGGATTATTAAAAAGGCTACGAACACAGCATTTTTCTTACAGAATACCATTCAAACATGAATTTATACCAAACCTGCATAGTCGATTTTGAAAATAATTCGTAATTGTTATAATTATGCTCCAAAACCTAGAACACTTTGGCTCCGCACACTCGTATGCATAGTTTTTTATTTAGCGGTCAGCCTCCTGTGGCTGTGACGTCATACCAGACAGTCCGCTATGTGTTGATCGTTCGTGTTTACGCTTGGCTGTCGACTGAAAAGTGACGCTAAGCGCTATATTTTGAATGAAGTTGTAGTGACAATATGCCGTATTGTCTCGCATTTGGGTGCACTTCGAGTGCTACGAATACTTCAGGCCTTCATTTCCATGGATTTCCCCGCGATCTACAAAGAAGAAAGCTGTGGCTGGCGTATTGTCGACGTGCTGATGTCAAACTCAAAGACATAAGCAAACACAGCACGTTGTGCTCCTTGCATTTCTCGAAGAATAATTATGAACGGGATCCCGAGTTCATGGCACAGTATGGCTACACGAAAGCTAAACCCAAGCTTTTTAAGCATGCCGCACCGGACATTCCCCTGGCTATCGACGGCACGAGCAAGAATGTCACCAAAAGTGCCACGTTCACCGAGAGGGGGGCTTTTTCAGAAGTGACGACGGTTAGAACAAATAGAAGTGAGTGAAGTAGATATGAACTTGATTCACAATATTGAGTCGTATGATATGACATGCTTGTTTGTATCTCTCACAGTTTTCATTTACCAGAGTTGTTGGGTGTAGATCGATTTGACTACTTTGTTTTTAGCTGTAATTATGTCACAGTTTTCGCGCATCTCGTAGGTTTTGGCAGTATGCCTTGTCACCCATGAGGGATTGGGCATTCCTCCTACATACACTAGTCGCAAGGTTACGTAGTTTAAGAAAAAATCAGAATTGTCATAATTGTCTACGATTTATATAATTCATATTTTGTCAAATTAATTAGATCTAGAATGTGAAATAAAATCTATATTAATTATTTTCCCGTTTTAGGATCTGAAAGAAGCATATGATAGTTTCAAAGCAACTTAAGATTGTGGACAGTCCGGAGGTACAGATATTCAACATATGTCAACATTCGAGCCCATTCAAACTTGTGTTGAGTCTGGCAGTGGAAAAAAATTTCGAGTGTCAGGTGTCATGTAAGTGATTTATTCTAACATTTCATATATTGATTCTGCTCAGAATCAAATTTGATTAATTAATTCCGTAATTGTAACTATTTGAGCTTTCATTGTGATATTTGGATAATCATTTTAGACAAATGTGACAGAAAATACTATAGATTGATTGAGGGATACCTTCTTCCAATAATTCAGGCCATTCTATTATGATAAATACTCATGTATACATATCTGGAGACAAATCAAGGTTGGCTAAAAAGAAACCACGTGCTATACTTTTGATTGGACAAAACCCTGCTGACATAATCCTGTTAATCAAAGCCATCATGTCCAGCTGGTCCATGGAAATTATTGCAATGGAATGGACATGTAATAGCCTGAATAGTGGAAGGGATACAATGAGATTTATGATTAAGGATATCTAATATAGTAATAAGTAACATCGAGAGATCATGTCCATAGGTCTGACCTGGTTTATCCTAGTATATTTATGTTATATGATTTTGATATTTGTTTTATTTACAGTGGCAGTTCCCAAGGCAAAAATACATCTTCGCACAAGACGGATTCAGACATTACCCGTCCGAAGACTCACAAGATGCATTCAGGCAAGACCACTGACCAAGACCGTGGCTGTACAGTGTGACCTGTACAAGAGGAGTGAGATTGTGTTTGAAGAGGACATGGACATAGAGGAAGATAAGGCTGAGGAAACAATCCAGATTACTTCCCCAACACCAATCCTGGTGAAAGAACTGAAATCATATGTGTCTGATGTATTAAGAAGGTCTATAGTACTTGAACCTGCCACTTCTTCAGATGGAATGTATTCCCTTGATGAAAGAACATTGGGCGTTCTGCCCCAGGCTCGCACCCACTGACCCCAAGCACGGAGGCATGACAATCTAAATGACGTCACGCTATAGACAGATCAACGGTTACACATTCAAACATCGGTCTTTTAAGTATCAAAATCTGTAGAATAGTATGTATGAAATTCCTTTGAAATAGTGAGGAAGCAATGTTGTCAGTTATTTTATGTTTACATTAGTTGCATAGGTAAAGGAGAGTTGTTTTGTTACTGGAAACAGTGATGAACTACTACTGCCTAGAAGTTCATTCCCCTTACACGCATGGGCAACGCGTTACGCAACCAGTGTGCATCGGGTTGGTCACGCGTGTGATACCCGTGTGCATTGCACACGGGTGTGCACCCCGTCCGCCACTCGTGTGCAACGCGTGACACACTCATTAGAGGGGGAACAAACTTTTGACCAAAGGAGGACCCGTCTTAAGCTGAACCTGGAGGTGGTAACAAGGAGAGAAAATTTTGTTATCTTGACGAAAAATGATAATACACATGTATTTGCTAATGTCTCCTTTCTTTATGTGATTTTGTGGGAATAACATGAATACTGTTGTGTTTAAATATATCTGTCTTGTTTTATACGACCATTGCTTCTAAATCCGATGGTGTTAAGAGAATACATGGTCCTGGAACATGTTATTGCAATTGAAATGCTTTTATTGTGATTTGACATTAAACGTCCGTAGTACGACTTTCAGTGATAATATGTATGAGGTTTCGCGGCGCATTGTTTTTATTTGACCCTAATTACTTTATGATGACTTGGACTCTTTATCTCAGCTCCATAGCCGTGAGGCTGGAAAAGAGCAGCATGTAATTAATGAGGGTGGGTTATATCATTGAGGATACACTTGAGGGAGAGAATACTAATTACCGTACTACAGGAAGAGACCTGTAGACGTAAGCGCGGGGTTGTGTTTTAGCTGGCCGTTCGATAATGGCCGCCAGGAGAAGTGAGCTTTGACTGCGTCATCTAAAATAAATAGTAAGATACAGCAGTTTTATTTTCACGGGTCTGTTGAATAAACTCCCAGCGCTACGGTCAATGTATCTTCTACTTGATCCTTGATACATCATTTTGGCATTCACAATATATAGTATTTCAACGTACAAAGGAGCACTGATCTAAAGCAATTCCGCGGGAGTAGTTGTTACCTGTGCATTACTGTATTTTCCCAGTGAGTACCCGGATGATATAGCAGAAATCTAGACTTGTTCGCGACCTGTGCTCGCCATTCGTAAGCGCATTTTTATTGAAAGTAAAAGGACGTATGGTCACATTGATCAACAAAAATGAAATACAGTTTTGGAAATGTAGGTATATTTGTGGGGAGCATCGGTAATGGTGATGCAGTTTTGGTAAGTCACTTGCTTGGTAATTGTGCGATCTTTGTGTACACTATTTTGACTTGCAACACAAAGTAAATATTTCATCTGAACATTGCTTATTTTACCGTGTGTATATGTTTACATTCAAAATGTAAACATAATTCACTAAGGACATGTATTAAACGCCTAAATATTCAGTTTATTTTACAAATTAACTGAAAAATATGTCCATCTTTATTAATATGATAACGAATTCCAAATATTTGTTTATGTTTAATATCATCACCAAGTACAGTTCTGTATTGTTGGGCTTCTTTTATTAGCATAATTAATATATTGTGATGTGTTTAAGCTCTTTTGATCGTCTTTATCATTTTTAGTCAGTCGGTTAAATAAATGAATGGATTATTCAGTCAATTTTTAAAATGACTGAAATATTTAGATATTTAATAAATTGCCTGAGTGAATCATATTTTACACATTGACTGTAACATATACACGCTTACAAAAGAAAATACTTGTGAAAACAACGTCTATCGCGCATCGAAAAACTTCCCAACCAAACGGAAAGGAACAAGAATGATTCTGTTCAAAGCTGTAGCGAATGAATGAAAAGAAAAGGCAAATATAATTATTACAACCTACCAAAGTTATAATGTATCCGGGAATATCAACATAAAGGAACAATATCCATTGCGTCTGCAGCTGTACAAAAATACTTATTCGATGTCAAATGTCTATGTGAGAATCAAATACTTTAATAATAATTATTTGGAAACAATATTTGGAATATATATGAAATATATTAAAATATTTACATATATCGTTTTTAAACGTTATTCAAATGTATCGTATATTATAACCCGTGTTTGTTTCTTAACTGATCACTTAGTTTGTTTCAATTGTTTCACATAGGTGCCAAGTTAGCTGAGAAAGCCCACGTGACAACTATTTTTATAATGTCCTCGGTTCTTAAAAACATACATTGAGTTAGATAACAATGAACAACCAGTCAGTGTATTATCGGTTACCCATTGAACAAAGTATGTTGTTTTTACATCTGTACTTCACGCCATGATATGAGTGTATTCCCTAGGTTTAGTAAACCCACCTTCACCAGTAAACACTTACTTTTGACATATCCACTGTGCAAGATAACAGTGATTAATCAATCAACGTATTTTCTGTTAATCCTTTGATGACTAGGAACGATCCGTTGATTTACAAAAAAAGTAAATCAACTGATCATTCACCTCTTGCTGGTCTGCCACGTGCATATTACATAACACACATTTCACCTCACTTCAAACCTGGATTTAGATTGAATAATTACCCCAGACACAATAAATGCCAAATGGGAACCTTTGTCAGGTAATCTAAGTGGTGCTACCACTAATTGTACCTGTAATAAATTCATTAACTGAGCACCAAGTGAATGACGACAAATACACAAGTATAGGGGTTATACGAGAAAACAAGGATGACAACAAGGAAGTAGTAATCGTATTATCGACGCAAGCCGAAATCCGAAAATGCTTTCACTGCATGGATACTTTTTTTTAGTGTTAACTATAACCATCTGGGGTACTTCCAAATGACGACATCCGATGAGCTCCGCCGTTCTTTTTGTCTGTTAGTTTAGGCTGAAGAAATTAATTAACATGCGCCCTTTGTCGAAATCTTTATAGATCACGGTTAACCAATCAGTGTTTATGCAAAAATGCGTAAAACAAATATTGCCTCCAGCCTCCAGCCTCCAGCCTCCAAGTTTATTTAGCTGTCCTTGCAGACGGTATCCCAGTCTCTGGTCACGCTCAGTTGCGTTGCGTATCATCCGGGTACTCACGGGGGAAAAAACAATAACAAAGGCAACAACCAGTCCGGGGAATTGCGTTAGATCAGTGCCCCTTTAAGCATAGGTCTGTGTTCTACATTTGATTGTTTGTATGTTGAATCATTAATCCGCTCTAAATTAGACTACGGGTCCATTGTGTATGCTGGAGCTTGCAAGAGTAATATAAAAAAGCTAGATTCAATCCGCCACCAAGGACTCAGACTGTGTCTTGGTGCTTTTAGAACTTCTCCTGTTGACAGTCTCTATGTCGAGGCTGATGAACCTTCTTTGAAACAACGCCGTGTTAAATTGTCTCTTCAATATATTATCACTAAATTACACTCTAATCCTTCTAATCCTGCTTATGACTCCGTTTTTCAACCCCTATATGAAGAGCTGTTTCAGAAAAAACCAAAGCTGATTCCACCACTTGGAATTCGGATGAAATCACATATTATTGCTGCAAATATAGATCTAGATATTATCTCACCATATCGTCTCTTGTCTACTCCTCCCTGGCAGCTGGTGAGGCCAGAAGTAGACGTTTCTCTAACCCGTTTTATTAAATCTGACACAAATCAACTTATCTATCAACAGGAATATGTACAATTAAGAAATAAATATGACACCCACCGTTCAATCTTTACTGATGGATCCAAGGACGGTGGCAAGGTGGCATGTGCCACTGTCGTTGGATTAAACCATATCTCATCTAGAATACCAGACACTAGCTCTATTTTCACTGCTGAGGCCAATGCTATTCTTACAGCCTTAAAATACATTCAACGAAAGTCTGCATATAAACAATTTATCATCTTTTCTGATTCTTTGTCTTGTCTTCAGGCACTGAAAAAAGTCTCTTCTAATCATCCAATTATTTTAGATATTTTAGAACTTTATAATAATCTTTCCACTGGCCAATACGACATCGTCTTTTGTTGGTTGCCCAGTCATGTGGGCATAAAAGGCAACACAATGGCTGATGCTGCAGCAAAAGCAGCACTCAACAAATCTGTGACACCACTTCTTATCCCTTAAAGTGATTACAAGCCTGTTATTAAATGTTACATCAGGGATCTCATGCAGAAGAAGTGGGACACCCAAGTAGGTATCAATAAATTACATGAAATTAAACCATCTATCGGTTACACCTACTTGGGCAGTCAGTCCAGATTTGAAGAGGTCATTATACGACGATGTCGTATTGGCCACAGCAGATATACCCACGAATATTTATTGAAAGGTGAGGATCCTTCATTTTGCATCCCTTGTGATGAAAGAATCACGGTCAAGCATGTCCTGCTTGACTGTATTGATTTTTCCATCACAAGGGATAAATATTTCAAAATTACATCCATAAAGGATCTTTTTAATCAAATCAGTGCTTATTTAATCATCGGTTTTTTAAAAGAAATAGAATTAATAGATAAATTTTGATTATAATATGTGTAGTATAAGGTAAATGAATTTTAATTTGGTGGAATGAAATCATAACTGAGATTGTTGGTGGCTGTATCTTCACAGGGGGTTGAAGTATCGTAAAATAATTGTCCCCCTGGGAAGGTACGTAAGTCCAGTATCATTCAAGGTATCATTTCCTTTCTCTGTGATTTTAATCGTAGTATTTTTGTTGATTTTAACTCTTTGGCTAATCTGTCTGATAATCGCCAGTGCCCAGAGGGATGGTGTAAATCCTGCTGGGGTACCATGTAGGTAGCAGAAGTACCGTAAGTCCCCATGGTCCCTAGTATGGTGGCCTAACTTTGGTTGCTGGCGATCTACAGCCCGTTTTTCTATTGTATCGTTTGAATTGTATCTGATTATTGTATTGCTCTAAAACTAGTTTTAAA